CAATATATATATATATATATATATATATATATATATATATATATAAAAATGAAGTTCGATCGGTCTTTATACTACAAAAATGTGTCTATTCGTAAAATCGTTAAGAGATAAAATTATATATAAAATATATTCAAAATATTTTAGTAGATTTTGTCGAAAAATATTATAATCGTAAAACACTGTCTTTTTTTACACTGTTTTTGTAATACCTGAAGAAAATTCTTCGCTTTCTTCGCTTAATGAAATCTCGATTATCGAGTATTACGATTATCACTTGTTATTACGCGAAATGTTGTTGATCGGCGTTGAACGTCAACGCAACACTGGCAAAATGAAAAAATTGATTAATGAGAAAGATAAATGGCGACAACTCGCAGCTGCTGCTCCGTCCGATAAGTTCTATCGACCGGTTCTACTGACCGGTCGTATTTGGAATTATTAAAAATGTGTCAAGTTTCGATATGTATTCTGTATTTGATTAGATTGCAATCCGGCGCCGTTATTTATCGCAAAAAGACGGCTCGACATACAGTAGATAGACTTTCAATTCCACTTGTCCCGGTTGTAATTTTCAGCAATTACGCGAGGTAATACCACACGTAAAAATGGAGAGGAAGCTCAGCAAGATAGAAACGCTCACGTTGGCTAAAAATTATATAATGGCACTGACGAATGTCATATGCGAGATGCGCGGCGAGGAGCAGCCGTACACGTGAGTATCGTTTCACTCCAGTGTTTTTTTTCAAATGGCGCCAGAACACTACATAATTATCTAATATGTCAGAATAATTCGAAGTACCATGAGATAAACATCTTTTACGAGACTTTTACTTATTGGAATAAATAATATTAAAAAAATATTTCTCACAAATTATTGATTTTTTCAACATTGCGTTAATAATTTTTGTATATTATCTTATATATCATATTTTTATAATAATTGTTAATATACGAAATAGCTAGAAGAATTATTAAAAAAAAAACAAACTCTATGGTTTATTTCTTTTGTTAAAAGATTTATAAAATCTCGTAACAAATATGTGAAAAATTTACTGTGTTTTATATCACTTTTGTCAATTCTCTTTTGAGATTCTCACAATTAAAATATCTGTTTTTAAAGTGAGCAAAAATCGAGATATTAGAGATATGCGATTAAGATAGAGATGTAGAGTGTATATTTACTGAAAAAATATTTTTTTTCAGGTTTGTCGATGGTGAATGCGGTTCCAGCAGCGGTGACAGTACCGGTCAACTAGAATTAAGCGGAGGCGAACAACCTGACGAGTCGTCCCCCGCGTCGATTCACGAAACCAACAACAATAGTCTTCTTCACGAAGATCTAGAACGCAGGATCTAAGAAAATCCGATCTAAAGGGTGTCGAAACACGTACACGCACACAACCACATACACACGCACACATACACGCACAGACTCTGTGATAAACTATCATATTAGTGCCTTTCGTGAGAAACAGCAATCCGCGACGATTCAATCGTTATCGCCATGGATCTTCCTAGATCGTTGTACGTTTTTCGAGAAATCCACGTTTGAATAACAAAATGATGATTCCGGGAGGACGCGACGAGAGAAACGCGAGCGTAGGCAGAGAGAAGGGAAAACAAAAAGCAAGAGATGTGACGATGAAGAGAAGAAAGAAAAAGATTACGACAAACGTAACGAGAAGTAGAATATATATATATATATATATATATATATATATATATATATAAGAGTGAATAAGGAAGGATCAAGACAAGAAAAAGAAGATAAATAGAAAGACAACGCGTTTTAGATTATACGTACAGGAGACGTTTCTGATCTAGCGCATAATCGCTTTCAAAGAGAGATTCCTCGACAAACCGGAGGTCGAGATATCCTTAGAAGTTTCATAGGAAGCCATTATCTTTTAATTTAATTTCTACGTCCAATGCTAGAGATGTCTTTACAGCCTCGATTTAACAGGTCGAAAACAATATCCGCCTAAAACAAACCGAGAAACAGCATTTTATTACGTACTTGCTATCCCTAACTCGCTCAATTCTCGTTTCCTCATAATTCAGGAATAAATTTGCAAAATGAAACAGGTTGCGCTATACCTGTGTTAATCTCATTTCTCTCATTTAGGACTGAAAGATAATGTATTTCTTCAAATATATATAAATAATGACGTGTTTAGATGGAATACACGTCTCGGTGTAAATATAGAATGTATCGAGAGAGAAAGAATATATCCAGAAAATATTTATATCGTGTGGCACATAAAGTGTATCGAAAATAACGGTTGTGCAAATTCATATCGCGAGTTTTTTTTCTATTGATCGTTAAATTTTCATTAATTTATTCTCTTATCGACATTGTCAACCTAGTGCAAGATATTATTACTATTAGTTGCAATTTACTACTATTATTACTATTACTTTTATTCCTACTACTAATACTACTCTGTTACTATATTACTATACTATTACTACTGCAACCATCACTCCTATTACTATTCCTACTATTGTAACTACTATACAACTATCATTCCTATATAGTACCAGTTGTTACATGGTTATTAGAGATATCTTTCAATATTTTATTTCGATTAATATTCCATTATTTTAAAGTCTTAAAGTGAAAGATTATTATTACTGTTATTATTATTATTACATTATTGCTATTATTATTGTTATTACATTAAATTAATAACACATTATTTTAATATTTCGTTGTAGTAACATGTCATTTTTTTGCAACATGCGTTTTACTCACATTTCTCCATCTGCGATTTATTTAAAAACAAACCAACTGTATACATTTCGATGCATTTGCAGTTGGTATTAACCGATAACAATAACTATATTTGTAATATTCATCGATCATTGAATTAAATTTTTAACTACTAGTTATATGCATAATTAATAATTATTTGTTGGCCAATTAGCAATTACAAACGTAATTAACAAATGTAAAATTAATTAAATTACATTTGATTATCAACAGATTCATTACAATTTTACCTATCTCTGCTTTAAAAATTAGATAAGTAATTTTGTGTAAAAATTGTGTTACATAAATAATTTTGTATAAAAACACATAAGTATGGTAATGGTGTGGAATGGAACTATACAGACAATCAAGCCAACAAATAACGACTATGCTAAAATGCTAACTATACTATATTTTTGGCAAATCAAATGCAACTGATTTATCGATTACGTAACTATCGTAATATTCATTTTTTTGGATGCATGTTACTGTTACTTAGCTTAATTACTCAGTCGCAACTTTATGTCTCGACTTAAGCCATAAGTGATAAGAAAATTTACAGTCAACATTTGCTATTATTAATATAATAATATCATGATCATAGCGCGCTATTATTATACCGTTTTTATTATCGTTATTATTGTCATCGTCATTGTCATTACGATGATAATTGCCATGGTTATTGTCACAGACACATTATATTTTTTTAATAATAATATTATTGAGTATAATATGTTACTATGAATTCAATATCGCATATACTCATAATTTTCTGTATTTTGTGTGCATAAATCATTTTCATAATCATAATTAGCTAAAGACGACTAAGATTTACTTGCATTCTCCATTTTCTAAAAGCAGAATTGCACGCAGTTGAAGCTAAAGCGGCTTTAATGTTTATGCAAACGGTCCCATTATGAAAGATTTATATGGCACAGATTTATTACATGCAATATTTTTTAATGTAAATGTATTACACGTTGTGCATATTACATATACAATATGCAAGTTGATTGACTGAAGTTGTTCACCCATATATTATAACTTCTTTCCTAAATATCTTACAAGATAAAAATTAAAAAGAAAAGTATCTTGTTTTAAGAGATTTATATTGTAATAAAAGAAAGTTCATGTCCGTTGCATATTTTTTTCAAAAATATTGAAATTGCTTTTCCCTCTTTTCAAGTGACAGAATGAAACATTGATATTTTATCATTTTATATCATCATAAACACTTTTATTTGCATCACAACAAAAAATCGAAATTGATATTAAAAAAACGAAGATAAAGAGGAAGGACATTTATTCTACCGTTTATTCTTTAACATACAGATATTTATATTATACAAATTTTATTTAATTTTATTTAAATTGTAAGAGGAAAAAAAACATACACGTCTAATTTTTGTTACCCTTGACAGCGTGTATAATGATGGCCACAATTAAAATAAATAATGTTCCTAACAATCCAAGCACGATCGCGATAAGAACTGTATCGATGGCTAACCACGGATCTTCTTCTGGAATCCAGGTAACAGGCTCAGTTGTTATAAATGAGCTATAAATAACAAATATTTATGTGTTATTTAGACAAGACTTTTTTTTATTAAGAAAAAAAAATAATAATATGAGATTATAATCAGGGCTGAGCGATTAAGCGATACTTTCGAAAGTAAATCTTTAGTTTACTTAAGTATTTTGGGGAAACAACACAAACTTTCCAAGTGGAATTAAAAAAAATTCGCATTGTCCGATTTGTCTCGATAGTTTTTGGTCTGTACTCTCTTCCTCGCATTTTGTGGTTAAAAAGGCACACGAGTTACGAGCCACCTTCCACTTCGATTCACATGAAATACGTTTCGACCACGTTTCGCACAGCCCTGAGTATAATTAGCAACTAGTGGAATGCCGACGTGCTAGTTTCCATCTCTTCCTCGGCGAGCTCCCCGAAGGACAACGTGATAGCATTGTCCAGATCCTTTCCCAGTTGTTTGAAAGCGGTTCTGCCGAGCCAATCGGCGAGATCGTTGCGGTTTAACTGTCGAAGTCGATGTACAATCGCCGCGTGCGTCTTTCCGCGGCCCTCCGCGGGATAGCTGTTCCAATGCAATAGGTGACGTAGGCATGGAACCTCCTCGTCCACCTTACGCTCTGTTTTATTCGCGGAAATGGTCGAGCACGTTAGTTCGGCATGTAAATAAAACGGTCGATTAATAAAAACGCAATGTAAAGTCGCGAAACCCCCGGGAAGAAGGGGGGAGGAGGGGGGGGCTGACCTGCCGCGGCCAGATCCTCCGGCAGGTCGTAAGTCGTGTAATGAAGCGCGACGAAGAGTCGCCTACACTCGAGTGGGTCCAGTCGAGCTGCGAGATACTCCAATTCGCTCAGATTCACATCTATCGTACCGCGGATTCTCGAGACAAAAATTTTCACGCTGATTACAATGGAAATCAGCCAAAATCGCATTTTTCTCATGAACGGGGGAGGAAGAAATGCGGGCGCGGACGAAAACAAAAGATTCTATGTCGATTTGTGAGACAAAAGTTATTATATTAATTATAACATCTTCTAATTATATCGTTCAAAATCGCATTTTTTTTTATCTTAAATCTTTAAAAAGAGGAAAAGAGAGAATCGCGCAAACAAAAACAAAAGATTTTATTATCGTATGTGTATTTTGTTTCTTTTTTTCTTTTCTTTCTTTTTTTTTTTTTTTTTTAATTTCGAAAAGATGCCTCGCTTTCGCTTATTTTGTCGGTTAACCTTCTCGATCCTATCGTGTCTGCCTCTTTGCTCTCCGTCCCTTTTTCTTTTTTCTATAACACTTGTAACAGGGAGTCGGAGACTCCCTCTCCTCCAATCTTTCCAGTTCCCTGGGGGTAATAATCGGCGCGGTGACATCCGTCACCGCGGTTTGCGGCAAGTCCGGCGGCGGGAGTCTCTTCTTCTTTTTCCGCAATTTCGTTCGTCCCTCCTCGATGTCGCGAGAGAAATGCTTTCTAAACAACAAATATTTCGCAGATTGCTCACTCTCTCTCTTCGCCACATTCTATCAAATTACGGTCGAGAGAAAAATTCCGTCGTGCAACGGACGTTTTCGTACTAACTCTTTCTTTCGCCTTCCCGTAATCTTATCAATGAGCCTCGCACACTTGTGTCTCACGATTAGAGTGCAGCAACAGGTGCAAATTATAGTCGCGATTACGATGCCGCCGGCGACGTATAAGGATAAGCAGATCGACTGGCGTCCTAAAACGTATCGCGTTGACTACGATCACATCATTGCTCCGGAAACCTTCATTCGACTCACCTGATAAAATATCGCGGAGTGCGTCAGTATTATTCATTCCTCGTTCTTTCAAACGCTATCATCCGTGCCACTCCATCTTATTTCTTCAACAAATATTTGTAGAAAACAGTGAGAATGAGCGGCAATGACATTTCGCGGTTAGGCGAAATGAATATTGAAGTATCACGCCCACGCGAATAACGCATATTTGGCTAACATCACGCTTTCTTACGACTCCATGACTACCAATATAGATTAATTTGAATCTCAATTTAATTTACTCCTTATCTTTTTTTAATTCTTAGAACTGAAAAAAAAAAATAAAAGCTAAACTGAGATTAAAGATAATCTATATTGGTCGAAGTAGATATGAAAAATAGTTTAAAATTATTACAAGGCAAGAAAGAAAGTTGTATATTATATAATAAAGTTTGTCTAACAAATTTTTTTTAAAATGTCATAAAATCAATTTTATAATTAATTTGTTTTTTTTTAGATAACTTTGATTTCTCTTTATTTAATGCAAAAAATAATAATAGAAAAATAAGAACTTTTTCAATCTAAGATATATTTATTGCCACGCAAACATATAATATGTACAAATCTCTTTACAATATTGTCATATCATTGTTAATCATCTTTCATTTCCGGAAAAGTCAATTTCATTATTAAAAGTTAATTTCTCGTCAGTCAATATAATTGCTAGAAACAATCAGTGTTAATCTTCATTGCGTAAAAAGTTAGTCTTATATATATACACATTTTTTTTAATATCATTCCACGAGTAAAACATATCACTGTTATAATTAAACTTCTCGATAGATGTTATCTTAAAAAAGCGATACGTATACAAGTCGCGTCACAGCTTCGTGTTCGATTACAAATTACAATTTAATAATCGCGATTACACGCAGGCATTCTCAAGCTTAAGCGTAAACTTTATAAATTTTTGAAAAGAGCAAATCCAACATTTTCTTCCAAGCCTCCTGCGCTTCTGGAGTGTATTGTTTTCCAAATACAGATGGAAGAATATCCAATATTACCTGTTTCAAATCCTGAAATATAATTAATCTTTGAAAAAAAATCATATATTAAAAATGCAGAGTGTTATAATTGAAAAAAATATTATAAAGAAAAAGCTGTCTCAAAGTTTGTCTCAAAGAATAATTTCGCAAAATAATTTTATTGCGGGCAGGAAAAATTGATTTAAAGAGATTTGTAATGTTTATGTGTAGAAAATAAAAAATTCTTTTTTTAATAAAAGAGACGTATGTCTGTAAAGCAGTTAAGTCAGTTGTTATATAAAGAGACAGGATTCATGGGGAAAATTTTAGATGCAAGATACATATCTCTGTTACATCATCGAAAAAAGAATGTAGAGGATAACGAGGTAAGGTGTTTACTTACCTCAAAGTGCTGCCGTGTTTGCCCGCGGTGCTTGTGCTTCTCAACAAAATTAATTATGCTCGCTTCCATCAATTCCGGATCGTACATTTGTTCGAGCACTTTGCCAAGTGTCGCTATGATATTGGCACAATGCGCTTGAAATCTTTTATTTTTTGACAGTTCATCGTGAGGAACATCTTTAAATGACTTAAATTCTTTCTGAGCGTCTGGGTGTCGCTTAAAATAGCTACAAAGAACAACAAATTTTAAGTTACGTGTCGAATTTGCAAACGAAACCAGCGGGAAACGATGAAAATCGGTTGTTTTAAAATAAAAAATTGGAAAAATCCTTCCTTATATCATGTATTAATTACAAAGATAAGTAATGATAATAAGAACGTGATTTTTCACTGTTAATAAAAACAATTAATATGGCTGAGTAATATGATTTAGTTATTTTGTATTGCTTAGTTGATTTAGATAGTTGTATTGTTAGTTGTATTGTTTTCTAGTTGTATTGTTTTGATATTTAATTAGTACATAAAAATTGAAGAGAGAGATCTAATTAATATATTTAATTAAAACGTTTAATGTTTGATGAAACGGTTAATTTTATGCTTTCTAATGTTAAGTTAATTCCTCCCCCCCCCCTAAATAATATCCTATATATTTGAATATTATATAAAAGAATTGTATAAAAATATAAAACATTAGAAAAAAAAGACATTTTGTTATATTTTTAAGAGCAAAATGCAAGTTGCAAAAATGCAAGTTGAATATATGGCTTTTCGTAATAAAATCACAGATCTGATTGAAAAAAATTTAAATATTTTCTTTGCAGAGTATTTCAATCATTTTATCTTAACAAAGTTAAGAATTAAGCCACTTGAAAGAAAGCATGCCGCACGAGTATCGGAGTTATCTCTCTCGCGAGTTTACGAATTGCAAGATCTATTCGCGGCGTTGATCGCGCCTCGGCATGTCGAGATACGATAACATTGGGCCGGAAAAATGCGCGGCCAATCCGAATGGCGCAACAATGTATTCCCCTTCATTATCGCGCGCGATAATGAAAGCGGAGTTGAAATTTTACATAGCGCGCGCGTTTCGCAGCCGCTGTCTTTTGCGACGCACCGTGCGACGCGATGCGCATTAACAAAACCGCGAATGGTCTCGACGGGACGTGAGGGTGTTCACGACGAGGCCCGTGGCGCGTGACATGGGTTTTTCATCGTGCGCCAGATACGCATCGGCGATTCGTTAAACAAATGAATGGCTTGTCGGAATGCGGAAGTGCCGCGAGCGAGGAGAGAGAGAGAGAGAGAGAGAGAGAGATTCGGGAAGAATCTCGAAACGAAACGCTACCTCCGTCCGCTCCTCCGCGACGGTCCTCCGACCGTCAACACCGGCGGAAAATAATTACTCTCGTTATTCCCGACGCGAGATTTATCTCCGCTTATCTTCCGCTCTTGCCGGATGTTACGACCTGGCGGTTACGGCATCGAACTAAAGGCCTGTGTGCGGAACGAATGAGGAAACGGTTGTACACTCACGCGAGTACAAGGGCCACCCCGGTCGACACCTCGTCCTTATGAGCGATCGCCCATGTGTTCTGCACCAGTCGCTTTTGCTTCTCGGTCAGTCCGAGTTTCTCGTCTAATTTATTGTCGTTCAGAGAGAAATCGAACAGACTACGGAACCACGCCATGCTCGCTCGGCGGAGAAGCACGGAGCCCGATCTATGGAAAACAATTGCACCGTTGATCAGATGATTATTCCGCAAATGGTCTTCAACGAGAGAGAATTCAACTTCTCTCGTCGCGAGAGCGATTAAAGAAATTTACTCCCGGATATGCGATATAATTCCATTAATGCCATATTGTCATGTGAAAACGTGATTGTCGATCAATCACGATTTTAATCGCGTATGACCAATGAAGATAAAATGTAATGTCAAAGAAGGAATGATACGAGATATTCGGACGAAATAACGCTTAATTTCGTCACGTTTTAATTATTTTAAAATAATTATATATCGAAATATATGAAAATTATGCAATATTGAGATAGAGTGAAAAAAATATGAGAGGATTTATTTTTCTTAAAGACATAAATATGTTTTCGATATAAACCGACCGCGTCGGCATCGTACATACATGCCGCATCAAATGTTTAAATCGCTTCGAGCGGCAATTGTTTTTGAATTTGACACTTGCCAAAAGAGAAAAAAAAACATGTACACGTGTTGAAATCGGCATTATATTAACGAACTGACACTTATCTTTGGAGTTATAGTACCGCCGTTATTGTGAGACACACAAACCGATTATCGCGGAGCCGCCTTCGCGTTCTCCTTCTCGATTAACAAAACTCGTTAAGTCGATAAATAAGATTCGTTCGCGCGCGCGCGCGCGCGATAAAATATCAATTGGTTGAGGAAAATAAAAGGCGCGACAATTTCAAAGTGGAATCAAACTCGTCGCGAGTGGCGAGTCTCGCTCTCAATGCCAAGCTGTCCATTTCTTTTTCTCTCGATTTCGCGCTCGCGATTGCCTAAATCGCCGGTTGAATGAAGAGAT